CAGCAGAGAGAGAGAGAGAGAGAGAGAGAGAGAGAGAGAGAGAGAGAGAGAGAGAGAGAGAGGAAGAGAGAGACCCCAAACTCAGTACCCGGCTCATCCCCCACGACTTCTCTGCTCCTGCCTCCCTCCTCCGCCCTCTTCCCCTGCTTCTTCACTCTCCCCGCTCCTCCGCCACACCTCCACAGCTCGGGGAAAAAGGATGTGCCTCCCCTCCGGTCTTTCTCTATGTGCCTGGCGCCAAGCTTGCCCAGGAAATGCATGAGTCCAACGGGGATTGAACCCAGGACCTCATGAATGCCACTTGCGTGCCATACCAACCAAGGTACGCCGCTGAATTTCAGTCTAGAGTCGGGGGAAGACAGTAGGGGTAGACATAGCATGCCGATTTCCAAAGCAAGCTGTTGCAGAACCTTCCCAACTAGCTGGAGGTGCTGTACACACGTTGCCATAGCTGTTAGGGCACACCCCGCACTGGACCATGAGTCTAAAAACACCCCCGACCACCGCCCCAAAACCCACCGAACCCACCACCCCGACTCATTTCCCCCATTTCCCCCTCAACCCCTTGCGAGCGAAGCCGCAACAGGTACCCTTGTCAAATAAGAAAACATCAGCTTGTGTCCAGTGTGTCTGGTAGTAATGTCATATTTGCTGCATTTCTGCAGGTTAATGGCTTTGATCACTCAAGATTTGTGGCAGCGCAGTACACTGGACGGTTCTTCATGACAGTTCCTCGCCATCAGCAACAAGCAAGAGTTAAATCAAAAGCACCTCAGCCAGTTTGTCCGCCTCCACCGCCACCTCCTCCTCCCGCTCCACCTGCTCCATCTGCTCCTCCACAACCACCAGTAGTTCCACCTTCCTCAGCAGCTATGCAAGGTTTGGATCAAGCCTCACAACAGGTGCGGCAGCTGCAACTGATGCATTCCGATTTTCAGTCGTCTTCAGAAGCTTCTCATGCACAGATACTGTCCATGCAGCTCAGTTGTTCACAGTCTCCATCATCACAACGAACCCCTGTTTGTCAACCTCACATGTCCCGCTCATATCCGTCCTCCGTGCAACAAATTTCCATGGGCCAAGAAGCAACCACGTACCAGCCTTCTGGTTTTCAAAGTTCTTTACTTTCACAGCCAGGGTCTCTTGTCTCTGCCTCTCAGACCCCAGGCCAACTATATGGCATTACATATCAGAGTGTGGATGAGCGAAGGCTAGAAACCGGTGCCCGCGCAGCAGAAATGGGTCTTGCGGACTTTGGGAGATGTGAAGTCCGCCATGCGGCAGGGTTTTCTAGTTGTGAAGGTTACCGAGATGATGGTAGGAGCCAGTGGCTCGGCGATAATATGAATATCCGTGGAGTTGGGGGGAGAGTGGAGGATGGGAGACGGAGGGCAGTCAATGGCGAGAATGTTTGTGTTGAGAACAACAGCTTCCTCAGGCAGAGGGACAAAGGGACTCCTATGTTCGGTGCATGCCAAGCTGGCAGAGGAACAGGTGAAATGGACAGATTAGCGATGGATTTTGGTGCAGAGAGAGGCAGGGGCAGCTTCCTAGGAGCAAACGAGGGTGCTAGAGCAATAGAGATTGAATGGCAAAGGCAACAGAGTGTTGTGGAATCAGGCAGATATGTCTGTGAGGAGAGGGCACATCCAAGTGGTGAGGCATCTATGGGTATGATGACAGGGGTTGCAAGGGACAATATCAGTGGGATGGGACCGAGGTGGGGTTTGGGCTTAGGGCTTGGTCGAGGTTTCGATGCCAACGCTGGTGGTTACCAGATGGATCAATCCTTTGGAACCGGCAATGACATGCTTGGGAACATTGCCCCTAGTATCGGTTTGGGCCCATTAGGAGGTGTGATGACAGGAGTTATTTCGGGTGGCAACATGCCTGTCGGCCTCTCAGGAATCGATCCAAGAATGGCTGGGGGTGAGATGTCTGGTGGAATGGCAGGGAACTCCATACCTGGCAGCATGTTGTCTGGTGGCATTTCAGGTGGACTTGTGCCAGGTGGTCTTTTGGCAGGGGATCTAATGCAGAGAAGAATCCAGGGAGGTGTTTTGGGAGGGTGTCTGGCAGAGAATGAAGGCGTTGGCAATGGATCAGGTTTCAAAGGGCCTCCTGGGATGCCAGACGGAATGACAGGAGGCCCTGGTATGCCAGGAGGAGGAGCTCCGGGGGGAGAAATGGAGGACAGGGTAATGGCAGGCCTGGGGGTGCAGGAGGCAGGGATGGGCGGAAGGTTGTCTTGGGGGGGAATGGGGGCCACAAATGGTGTGGGCATGGCAAGCAGAGTGGGAAGCGAAGGCATGTCAGGGGCTGTGCTGCATGGATCGATAGAGAACACCTCAATGGTCGCCGGAATCATCGGTGGGGAAATGTCCAGAGGATTGCCAACAGGGATGGAAGGGACCATCGTGCCACCAATGGCGGACCGGGACAACAGAGGACTTGTTGGAGGACTAAGAGAAGCAATTCCTGGTGGATTTGTCAGCATGATGGAAGATATCACTGGTGATGTCGGTACTGCAGGGCTGAGGTCAGGGTTGCTAGGAACTCCAGGTGATGAAGGCATTACCAGCAGCAATGCTCTTGAGGTGCCTGCAGTTGCCCCTGCACCTGCCCCTTCGTCCACCTCCGTCGTGCAATCAGCTGAGATGACAAGCAATGACCATGAGCAAACTGGTGTGATTGGGAAGGGAGGGGGGAGGGATGACTGCAGAATGCAAGAGAGGAAAAAAGAGAGCAAAATCATAGAGAAGGAGGATGGTGTCTCCATTGTTCCCATAAGGCCATGGGTGACATCCGATGGAGGTGTGAATGAGACTTTCATGAAGGGCCTCATTCGTCGACTTCTGGGGCTGGTCATGCAAAATCCAGGCATCTCTGAGGTGAGTTTCTTTTCTTCAAGAAGGGGGGGGGGGGGTCCTAACCAGCCTCATTCTTTCCCAGCCACTTTCTTGCTGTCGTGCTTCTTTGCAAGCCATCTTTTGCAACTGGTAGGCATTCTAGTCAGTCTTCATTCTGCTTCAGCCCTTGCTCATCTTCACTCTTGGTTCCTTCCTGGGTCGTATTTCCCTCCATCCTTCACTGACCAGTCTTGACTCATTACGCGTCTCTCTCCTCGACACTTTTCATCTTCCAACCATCATGCCCACCATTGACTTGACGGTGGTGAAGAGCTGTATCGTAGACGCATTTATCAGTGCCCTTGCCTCTGTCGGGTAGAAAATTACCTGTGATCTGTTGATGATGAATGACTGGTTAACTAACTATCATGCTGCTCATGGCTTCTGTTTGCAATGGACTGCAGGAAAATGTGATTTCAGCCATGGAAGTCCTAAATCCCCAGGTACGTATCTTTCTTGTCCTGTGTTCTTGTGTGCCACAGCTGCTCATTCTTACCCCCATTTTTCGTGTGTTTGTTGCATGTTACTCCCTTGGTGATATTCTATTCTTAGTGCTGTGCTCCCGCTCATTTCCCTACACTATTAAAATCGCCAGCGTCACAAATCTAAGATCTGGGCCGTCGTAGGTCCTACTGGTCCACGGCCCAGATCATTGAAAGACTAAAAAATATGACACTGTAACAAATCTGTGATCTGGGCCGTCAGGCCCTACCGGACCGATTGCCTCAATCGACGCGGTCGTCCAAAGAATGTAACAAATCTGTGATCTGGGCCATCGGGCCCTACTGGACCAACGGCCTGGATCGACGCCGTCGTCCCTGGAGCTCGGGCCCAACGGCCCAGATCGCAGGCAACATTGGGTACCTCACTCTGCCTTTGTCCGTTGCAACAACGGGCGGTGCCGATCTGCGCCGTTTTTTGCTGAACTACGTGCCTGCACGTCCAAGCCGTAGTCCGTGTTGGGTATAGCCTCGAGCCGTGTTGCCTGCCTCGCGCCGCCCCTGTTGTGTATAGCCTGCATGCAGTCGTGGATTGCCCTGCGAGGCGCCGAAGAGAGAGAGAGAGAGAGAGAGAGAGAGAGAGAGAGAG